GTTATTTGCGTGGAAGACTAGCACATTTCAGATTTTTGCGTGGAAGACTAGCACATTTCAGATTTTCGCTTGGAAGAGTAGCATATTTCAGATTGTTAAGCCGCGAAAACTGCACGTCTCCGGTTTAAAGTAAATCATAAAAGCATAATATATATTGAAAATTCAAACGTTTATTCTATATTTCTTTAATTGTATTATGAAAATCATGAAATTCAGACGGTATATACCGTTTACTAATCATTTGTTGAATATCATCCACTTTTCTTTTTTTTAAAGGTATTTTTCCCTTGTAAGCTTTAGGCAATTCACAGTGTTTCATGGTTGACCATTGAACATTTTTTTTCATTAGGTTCAACTTCTCCTCGCTTTGCATAAAGTCGTATTTTACTGCCATGTCTACTTGATTTTTGCTATTTTTTATTGTAATTTTCCGTACATGTGATATCTTAATTTTTTGCCAATGTAAATATTTGGATAGTTCTTCGAAGGAAAATATTTCATTTGCGTTTGCGTTGTTGAAAATTTGTTGAGTTTTTTTAGTATTCTCCTGGGCTTTAAACTTGGGCCAATATGGATTTTTTTAAGAGAATTAACTTTATTTTAATTGAAGGTTTTTTAAGTAAATAAATAAACATAACATAAATAATATCACTTTGAAACGGGGTCCTCTTGATATGATACTGTATGTATATGTTTTTTCGTATTTATTTATAAATAAAGATTCCCTGAGAAAGACGCGAATGTCGAAAGGTGTAGGAGGAAAAATAAACGTTTATTTTACTTGTAATAACCGGCCAAAAGGCTCCATATACAACACTAAACTTTCTGCATGACCGAAGAAAAATAATTATAGTATAAACATACATATTTATGTAACTTTTTTTTTTTAACGGCTGCTACAACCTTATATGAACTGCCTTGCGTATCCCTCTTCCACACAAAAATCTGAAATGTGCTAGTCTTCCAGGCAAATAACGAAATGTGCTACTCTTCCACGCAAAAATCTGAAATGTGCTAGTCTTCCACGCAAATAACGAAATGTGCTA